CTAGAGCCCTATGGGGAGTGGGTCTAGAAAGAACATGCCAAAGGTAACGTAGCGCTATGTCCAGCCTGGTCCGAGGACCGTATTTGCCATTTAGCCTGCACTAGGCCTGGTGAGCACAGGCTTCGGGATAGGGTTGGAGTGAGGGCTGAAGTTAAGAGAGAAAGAAAGCCTAGAGCCCCATGGGGAGTGGGGCTAAAAAGGGCATGCCAAAAGGTAATTGGTACAGACTGAAACATTAGGAAATTTCATCTGCATATGAGGAAGAACTTCTTTACTGTGAGGGTGACAGAGCCCTGGCACAGGCTGCCCAGAGAGGTTGTGGAGTCTCCTTCTCTGGAGATCTTCCAAACCCGCCTGGATGTCACCCTGTGCCACGTGCTCTAGGTGTCCCTGCTGGAGCAGGGGGGTTGAACTAGATGATCTCTAGAGGTCTCTTCCAACCTCAACCGTTCTGTGATTCTGTGATATGACTTTAGATAAATAAGGAAATGGGGACAAAGATGAAATAATAGCATGAGTGTCCGTTTTTGACTATCAAACCATAAAGATGTGTTAGTAGGAGGTTAGCAGGACTTGCCCTTTTTCTGGATGGTACTCAGTGTTGCAGTGGATCATTCAGATGATGGAGTGGAGACACTTCTTAGTAATATCCCATTCCATATCAGGCTGGGAGGAACCAAAAATTTTTGGATTAAAATTAAATTTTTGTTTGAGGTGGCTGGAAATAACTAATGCCAAGGATAAGGACAAAATAGCATGTGTAAGGATAAATCCATGATAGAAAATGATTGCCAAGGTAGGAAATCTTTATGAGAAGGATCTGGGGAATATAGTGGGTCAGAAACTGGACATAATGAAACAATGTCATGCTGCTATATGAAAAGCAAGCCAAGTATATAAACAGCTAGTTTAGGTTTAGTTGATTGTATTTTGGAGTAGAAGAATGGACTGGATGATCTTATAACATCCCTTTCAACTGAGTTTTCTATGATATTTTTGCTTTGGTTAACTGTGTAGTGAGAGAAAGACTTCTGCAAAGGTATCATCCTAATCTTATTCCACTGTTAAAAATAAAGCACACAACCTACTAGAAGCTTGAGGAAAAGATGTACCTGTCTTCTACTACACAGCTTTGTAAGTTGTAGCTTAAATATTACCATTAAGGTAGTAACTTTAATCAGTTCACAAAGCTCAATGGCATGGGCAAATGAGAAACATTGCTGTCTGCAGCTGCATCTGTTATAAACTTAGTGAATTATGGTACATTTGGCATTGCTTTTAAGAAACCCATAGCATGAGATTGCAGGCACCCTAAAGTGTATTCATTAGACTGTTGTTTTGAGAGCCTTGAAACTCAGAAGTTTTAGCACAGTTGTTTTGGACATAAAGCTTTATTTCATATATTTAATACCCACATGAGACAATCCATTAAATTTTTGTGGTCTACACAGTAATAGATTCTTAGAACCCCATGGGTGTTAAAATGACCTTATAATGCGTTTCAGTACTCAAATCGTTCCATGCAAATATTACCATGAGTTATTATGCAGTCAAGTGGATTCTGGCAGGATTTGTAAGCTATTTGGAAACTCTGGCAGAGGATCTTGTCCAAGGTTCACCACCCAAAAGGGCTATATGACTGTTACCACAAGATGAATGCCTTACGTTTGAGGTATCGCTGACAAATTTACTTAAACGATGTAGATATTTCAGTAACTATGCTGTAACGTTAGAAGATGTTCTAATGTGAAAAAACTGTCTCGTAACTGTCAGTACTTTTTTTTAAGATTAAGCTCTTCTGCTTAAGCACTGTCCATTACAGTGTATTTGCTCTACACAGCAAAATCATAAAAATGCCAGTTGTAACAGACATCTGGAAATCATCTAGTGCAACTCCCAAGGGATGCAGGGGAAGCAATATAGGAGAAGCTATAACCAATACAAGACCAGCTCAGCCACTGATTTTCTAGCCAAGTCTTGAAAACCTTGAGGGACTGAGATTCCGGTCACTCTGTTCCAGGGCTGTGCTACCCTCCTGGTGGAAAAGTCTTTCCTACCACACGTTGTGGATCTCCCAAGCTCAAACTGCAGGCAATTTCACCCGGTTTTATGATGCTCCACTGCTGAGAAATTTTGCTTCCATGACCACGGTAACTCCTCTTGAAGTAGCTGGAAGTCACTTTCGGATTAGTTCTTCACCACCTTTTCTCAAGACTAAACCTGTCCAGTCCCTCAACCTCTCCTTGTGCTCAGGGCACCTAGACACTTTGTTAGCCATTAGCAGGTCCCTATCCACTTGCTAAATAAATGCATTTGTAAATATATCCCTCTTAAAATGAGGGTCCCCAGGACTGCACACTGTATTCCAGGTAAACATCCTTTCAACCCAAAAATACATTTTCAATTTTGATCATTTTTGCAGTGGAAGTAATAATTACCTCTACTAATTAATCTGTGCAATACTGTGCGTTTCTGAATAAAATTACTGTGCAATATGCAAATGAAATGAAGGAAATGAAAAAATTGCCAGAAGTAGAGGGGACTTGTGAAAATGTGTCATAAAATGTGTCGTAGCAGTCCAGATGCCTCACCCAGAACACCAGGCTGGCCTGAGTCCTCACTCCTCAGATGATTTTAGCTCATGCCTCCCTGGAAATTCTCTGTGTGTTTGGGACCATCATTTTTTCTTCAGTTTTTCTTCAGCTAGAATTGAGGCTTTTAGGCTTAACTATCTTTCAGGGTACGGGCCTGGTTTTGGAAGTGAGTATCTGTTTCATGGTGGTTATAGTATCCTGAGCTGCAATCTAAAATTAAAAATTTCAACAAAATAATATAGTACTTGGTACTATAATATAGGTTTATAGTCAGACATGACATGACATTTGTACCCTTTTCTGCATTGCATGTTTTGTAAATAAAGACATTTGGTTGATGCCACATAAAATATCACTGTGCACAAATGTGAATGGTTGAACGTAATGGTTCATAGAAGATGATAATGCACATTGTCATCTTAAGAGAAAGTCAAATTTGTCTGTATTTGATGGGAGAAAGAATGAGAACATGCTGGAAACAAAAAAGAGGAGACAGCTATATGTGTTTACCATAAGAAGGCATTGATGGAGAAAGCTATTTGCTTCAAAAGGAGCTTTTTTTATAAATGAGGAGAAAACACAGACTTAAAAAATGCTTGTTAATATCTGCCCACACGTTTTGGGTAGTAGATCATGGAGGAATAGTTATTTAATATACCCAGAGGAGGCTCCAAGAAATAAGTCATATAGCAGACAAGATCAAGGAGTAAAACCTCAGAGTCTAGTTAATTTTGCCAGTCCTGTTGAAACATTTCCATATGACTGCAGTGACAACAACTTTACCATAAAACATCATGCTTATACCGCCATTAATTTGTGCAATCAGCTGGCTAAAGGATACTTATTTATAGTCTTTTGTTAGACATGAGGAACCTTAAGTTACTAGCTTTTACAAAGAAGTCCTTAGTTGTGTCCTTAAGGACTGCACATACCTGTACATGAAAAGTTTTAAAAGTCATGGAGAATTTTTAGATTAACTGGGGATTTCATATTCCTGTAGGGGTGATCAACAAGATGAAAAATTGAGTTCTTAAAACAACAGATATTGTTATAACAGATATTTGCAATAACATCTCTCCCATTACTTCATCCCACCTAGCTCCTGTGGAATTTCCATGCAAAGAATTTGCCCAATAAATTATATTTCCCTGATAAATCATAATTTCCCCATAATTCCCTTTTTTTTTCCTTTCTTATCCAAATTTATTCTCAAAATAAATGTTTATTTTTAGCAATCATCGCTGTTTCAGCAAGGGATAAGGGTTAAGACTCTCTGGTCTCTGCCGTACAGATTCTGGTGGAACATCCTATTCAATAGTGTGTTACTGTGCCATGAACCTTGCCTTCCAGAGACTGCAGGAAGATGTGGCTTGAAATGGGACAGATAATAGAGTTTTTCTGCATTGTTTCTGACCTGTTTTATGTGCCCATGGAGCTGTTGGCAATTGCTTAAAATCAGCCTGAAATATGTATTAAAGAATTATTTTTGTAAGGCACAATAGTAATAGTCTGCGTTAGGCTACTCTGAAACTTTCTTAGGCATTTGATCTTTCTATTTTCCCACAGTCTGCTAAATATGTTTGTGTTACATACAGAAATTGAAAAGAAGATGCATTTTTGCTTTACTACATGCTTTTTAAATAAGCCTTTTGTCCCTCTGAAGTGGGAATGAATCGAGCAGAATAAAAAATACTCGTATGATGAAAATTTGATGAATCTTCAAGACCTAATTAAGTGACAGAGGATGTGAATCTTTTTACCAGTTTTCTCACAAGGAAGAACTATGGAGAAAGATGGAATATTTTAATAGCCACAGCTAAAATAACATAAAAATTAATGTTATATATTTGTGAACACCAATATGCTATTGAGTCCCACATTTCATTTAAGAATTTATTAATTTCATGATACTTTTAAATTTTCTATGTGTAGTTGGCGTGTTTATTGTGAATAACTAAAAACTATCAGCTAATTGCTTCCAATGGTGATATGATTTAAAAAAAAAAGAACATATAAACAG